GTTTAAATCTTCCCATTCATGGGCAAGGATCCAGTAGGTTGGATCTGGACTGAACTTGTCGGAACTACCCCAGATTGAGGCCATGGCTCAAGAAGGATTCGTTTTAAACAAGGCGAATCAAGCTTTTTGTTCTTACCCAGTTTGGAGTTCAATTCGTGGAGGAATTCAATAGTCGTATTAGTAGCCACTTTAATTCGCCGCAGTTCCGGCTTCTAGCATCCAAGAACCAAGCTAGGGGGATTAGGCGAAGACCTTCGCTTTTCAAGGAGTCTAGCTGACCCACAGCAAAATGAACATCGAAAAGTGGCGCAAAAAGTTTTACTCGACTACCGACAATGTCGACAAGAAATCGAGGCATGGAAACTTCAGCAATGAATCGAAGAGTGAGTTTACCCTGAAACAGTGTTTGAGCAAGGTTTTTCGTGATACAGGGCATCAGAGACTTCGGACACGTCATATTAAACAACAGGGGGATCCCATCCACACCTATCCATGCAACAACCCAAAAGGAATCCCTAACTGCAGTAAGAACAATCGGAAGAAGTTTTGCTACAACACTACTCTGGTCTTTCGAGAGGGCTTCCATTTGAGCTTGAAAGGACTTTTGTCTACCTGAGGTCCGCGAAGGAGTTTGAGACGTAGACCGAAAGGAGCTACTGGAACTATGTGAGGCTTCAACCATCGGTCCATCAACTTGAATATCAACTCGTGTTCCCTCACTTAGCCTTCGTGCTTTTCCAAGGGATACCTACCTGAGAGGTTGAGCCCCCAACAGGGGGCACTGACTGCTGGTATTGGGGATTCATTCCCATACCCTGATTCATACCTTGGAGCGTACCCCCCTGTCCGTAGGTCCAAGGGGCAAAAGCATGAAGGTTAACCATTGAAGGACTAACATTCAGAAGTTGATTTGCAGCAGAGAAGCCTTGTTGTTAAGGCAGAAACGGATGCGGTGGAATTCCTTGTAGATATGATACCCATGCAAGATTTGACGTCGGATTCATCGGGACGGGTTGCTGGACTCCTCCTCCTCTACTTGACTGTCAAGGGAAGGGGCAAAACGTAGGATTAACTCGAAGTACAGTTTCCGTTGGAATTTCATGTGGCGCCATGTTGCTGATTCCTGCTTTGGAGGTCTGTTGGGCGGCCACTCCTGGTGCTCGGAGCGGACCTCGATATTGTGACCGAGGAACTCCTCCTGTAGAGGTAGTAGACGCTTGTGGATTGTTGGAAGGTCGCTCCCCTTGATTCCTCCTTGCAGACCTTCTGCAAGTATCTTCCGTATGGAAGAATGTGCGACAGCTTCTGCACCATTTGCTATCAGCACATGCCAACTTCACCTCCATGAGGTCTCCCTGGCAGGTTTTGATCCATATCTTATCCTCCATAAACTCTTTCCTACTGGAGTCAATATCAAACCGCTGGTTTACCATTTTTTTGTCAGTCTCGTCGGCTTCTGGTAAATGGGCCTTCACAACTCTCCCAATCGCTCTCTCCACGTGATCTCGTAGAAATACCATCTTGTCCAGAGATACTCCAACAGAAACTACCAAAAAAAACCTTCTCATCAATAGTCATCCTCCAATCTCTGACTTCGGCCCTGGTCATCCAGGGTTTGAACTTCGTGCGGTATGTGGTTCCGCCCAAATCGATGAAATCGGTCTTCTTGTTCAACATCTAATCGGTAATTTCTTGTATCGTTGGAATATAAAAAGCCACATTCGGAGACTCCACTTTGGTTCGGCCTCGTTTGAAATTTGTTCCAAAGGTGTCGTCCCTTATCCAATCACCTTCGTAAGCACGAATAACATCTTCCTTGACTCTCCTTGGAAGGAATCTTGCCCCATCACGAAATATCATCGTCATCGTCCTGGCCTTCAGCCACCTCACCTTCAGTTCGTCAATCGAGTCGTTAAGCACGAAAATTACCTCCCTGCCATTGACTTCCATGGTGCCTCCATCAATGTTCACCGGAAGGATGCCATCTTCATAGCAAGCTCTCATCATCTCCTTCACTCGTTTTTCATCAAGCGCGTTATCATTCGGAACTTTAGCTCTATCTCCTTGAGCTCCTGTCTCTTGAGCCCCCGGAGGGGTATGCATTGCTTCCATGGCTATCCAAGGGCTAGCAACCGCCCTTCGACAACGTGATGTAACTGTTGACTAGTACAAAAACCACATAAGAGTTGACAATTCAAATTCCATGTTCCAGAGAGCGGGAACGAAGACATTGTCAATCTATCCGCTGACAAACTCAACTATGGTCACCGCCACCGACTTTCGTCCACATGAAAGCGTTGAGTTGCCAAACTACGCCAAGCGATTCCACGCCAGGACCGTCGACGCCGGTTAGGCATGCCGAAGGCAGGAGGTGCTAGGGCCGAGTGCGTACGCACCAGTGCTAGCACCGCTTCGCGCCACCGTAGCTCACCACTTTTTCCCCCTGGGGCGTTCTTTTGGTTTTAGGGTCCAACGGAATAACTTTTGCCTAAGAGTCACATCGAAATTCTTTACCAAATTTAAAATAAAAATTTAAATAAAAATATTTTTTATTTTTTTATTTTTTTATTTCTTTTTGGCCCGCCGGGGCAAGTGGACCTGGGCCACTCTGGTAGCCTAGGTTTGTACAAATTTTCTGGCCCTGGAGACAACTTTTTTTTTTTGCTCAGAGTAGGAACTTCAGGACAGAGGTCATGAGGACCCGAGCTGTTTGTAGTTTTGGTTTTCCCTCTATGAAGCTAAGCTGACCGATGTTGTCAGTAATCTCCAGGTTGAATTCCGAGTTCCCCGACCTCGATTGAATATTTTTAAATAAAAATGTTAAAATTGGAACAATACAGAGAAGATGACACACATAAATGGAGAAATGGTCCATTTCAAAAAAGAAAAAGTGTTTGGTAAAAAAATAAATAAAAAAAATGAGGATTTTAAGCTGGGTAATGGCCCGGAGAATGCTCACATCCTGACGACATTGTGAACAGGCAGGGTGAATGGAGCAACGGGAGGGGAACATCCACTCTCCATTACTTAGGGTGTACACACACGGGAAACTGATAACCTGAAATCTCAAATTTTGCGGTACTATGTGGGTCACATTGGGTTCTCCCCCTACCCTATTGTACTTTTTTTTTTTTTTTTTTAAAGGCTAATTCATTTAAATTACCAGTATTTGGCCATCATATCGATGGCCAGCCTGGAATGCCCCTGCGCGTCGATATTCGCCGAAGCGCCAGGGTACCGTTGTGAATTTTTTCTGGCTGGCGCTTGCCACCATTGTGGTACTCTACCCCGAAGCCCTAAAGGCGCGGCATGTTAACGGGAAAGCGCCGCGGCCGATAGCTGGGCCAACCCAACCAATTCAATTACCTGTCAAATCTGGACAGGACGGCCTTTCATGCCTTTTTTTTATTGTCATTACAGAATTATTGGGAACCCCGTGGCAGTCATATCTGTGCACATGCGTAGCAGGGATATCTGTGCTCAATCTTCGAACAAGTGAACATGCGGGCGCTGCACCCACCAGCGGTGATACCTGCACTGGAAGTCGGCAGGTGCGGTAATACCTGCTCCAGGAGTCAGCTGGTAGCATCAAGCCCGAGGTTCTTCGATGGCCCAGTCACTGTGCCTCCCCTCCGGTCGATGGGCACTGTGCCTCCCCTCCGGTCGATGGGCCAGTCACTGTGCCTCCCCCCGGTCCCCTCCCCCTACGAACATCAGCAGTCTCTGCTCAATGCCTCGGGTCCAGGGGTCAGCCGCATCAGGACCCCTGTGCCTCCCCTCCGGTCCTCTTCCCCTACGAACATCAGCAGTCTCTGCTCATGCCACTCGGAGGTCGACCCACCTATCTCCAGGTGGCGGGCACCAAGCTTGCCCAGGCAGGTACATGAGGCCAACGGGGATTGAACCCAAGACCTGCTGACTGCCACTTGCGTGCCTTACCGACTGAGCTAGGCCGCTGGATAGGAGGGCCCTTTTCGAGGCCACTTCTTGAGGTGGTCGCAAATTCTCTTTTCACCTTTTCTTTTTTTTGTTGGAAAGGATCGTTTATTGCAGAATCATAGGAATGAGGCCGGGGACCTCACAATTCGACCCCGAGTTATCCTGGCAGCATTCTTTCGCTTTGGAACAAAACCGACTACATGTAGTTATCAATAAACACGGCTGCAAACCGGGTCCAGCGTCCCATTCCAAAATCCGTAATTTCCAAAACTCAAACTTGGAAGCTCTTTTTTTTTTTTTTTTTTTTTTTTTTTGAAGCTCAATTTTGAAAAAGGCAGGAGGGCAAATCAGCCACTTTCTTGGAGAATTGGATAATATAGCAATAAGAATCTCTCCGAGACTAATTCTGTCCGCCCTCTGGAAGGAAGGGAAAACGTCTCCCCCTCTTGAACCGTATACAGCCTACCTTGGCTGCTGAACTACAGTAGCCTTATGGCTGCCCTCTGGAAGGAAGGGAGGGAAAACGTCTCCCCCTCTTGAACCGTACCCAGACTACCATTTTCCCTTCCAGGCCAACCAGCGTCAGATGCTTGCCCAAGGCCCAGGTCGTCTTGAACCAAGATTGGCCCTTGTCCTGCTGCGCCGAACACTTGTTCCAATCCGAAATGATCATAAGTCTGTGATTGACACCGATCCGATGTTGTTGTTGCTGAACTGTCTGTTTCTCACCCCGAAAGATAACGGCCTTCCAGGCCAACCATATAGTCTGCATGATGACGCCTCTGCATACAAGCGCCACGTATCCCCCACCCTTTTTTGCTGCTTGAGACTGGGGGAGGGGAGGATACCATAAAGTATCCAGTCATCATTCGAGGGGAAAGCGCCCCGGGGAGGGGAGGATACCAAGTTTTCCAGTGCGAGGACCATTATAGCCATATCTCATCTGCCAGCGGACAATCTGCCCCAAGGGGGGGCCATTGGACTCCCAGCCCCAGTTGCACCTGCTACAAGTAATAATAGGCAGGTTGAGGCCTCTGGAGTCTTAACCATTGATTGTGCTGTGGGAACTACCAACAAGGACCACATGAAGGAATTGTGAAAATTTCGTGCATGTACATAACATCCCGCCAAACAACTGTGCGGTCGGGATTCGGTCGGGATTCGGGGCAGGTGCAGGTGGTAAGTTCGGAGCACGTGGCCTGGTCACACGGACCACATGAAGACTTGCATGCTCTGTCCGCTAAAGCCACGGCAATTTTTTTATTTTTATTTTATGCAAAAATAAATAAATAAATAAGTAAATAAAAAATTGCAAATAAGCGACGACAATTCGTCCCCTCCTCTCCTCGCTCTTACATCGTCCGTGTCTCCTGCCGTCTATTTTCCTCCCCTCTTGTTTCTCCTTCCACGTTTTCTTCCCACTCTTATCTCCATTTCCCCTTTTTCGTTCATTCCTCCTTTGCCTCTCCTCACTCCTGTTCCTCCCTTTTTTCTCCGCCCTCCCTTGACACCCCTGAGTCGTATCTGCTGTATCTGCTGCCCTCATCATCTTCCTCCTATTGTCGCATCATTTCTTGGTATATTCTTCCGTCTCTGCGTTACGCCCGACCCATTCTCGTGTTCCTTTCCTTGCCTTGGCCACCTACCAGTTCCCAAGCTTATCTTCGGTGTGCGACCTCTTCTTCTTCTTCCCCCTCCCACCTGCATTTCCCCCCTCCCCCCATCATCCTCTTCCTCGTTCTTCTGCTCTCCGCCCCCCTCCACCAGCAGTTCCACCCTCCCCTCTACCGCCATCGCCATCGTCTTCGTCGTCTCTCTCTCTCTCTCTCCTCCGGCATCTGTAGCCCCGTCGTGCGCTTTTCCCCCCTTGCTTTCCTGTTTTCGCCGACGTTCCTTTCCTCCCTTTGTCCCTCCTTCCTTCCTTTTTGCTTCATCTCCACCCTTTCTTCTCGAGTCCCTTTTGTGGCTCTTTTTTTAATTTTGTGGCTCTTTTTCGTCACGACGACCTCCACACACCCACTGACCGTGATTTCAGTCGTATGCGCTAAACCAGCACAGATCCAACATCGCGTGCTAAATGCAGATGTTTTGGTATTTGTAGAGCTGCCGTCGACGACCGGTCGCTCCCCCCGCTGTTGCCTTTGCCTGCCCTAGGTCTGTGCCGTTTTTTTTTTTTTTTTTTTTTTTTTTTTTCAAACAGAACAGATACGATATATCAGGCAATTCTCCTTCGTCTTTTCTCTGGCCTTTCGCAGATCCAAAGCGGCAGATCTGTCGGCGGCGGATGCTCGCCGTCTCGCGATTCAACAGTACCTGAGGCGTAACTTACGCTCACTTACTCCCGGCATGCTCACCACATTCGGACCTTTTTTTTTTTTCTTACCAGTTCTAGACCTAATTGCGGTCAGATGCACCCTCGGTGGGCTGTAATTGCAGTCAGATGCGTCCAGAAAAAGTCCTACCGGTAGTGGGGGTATGCTCTCACTGGTTTCTTCATTCACCTACGATGGTAGGAAGTTATCGCTTACGTGCTCCGAAACACCCCCACCCCCCGCTCTCTCTACCAAGCATCTTTTTTTTTTCTTTCTCCCCCTTCCTTTTTCGATTTTCTCTGTTATTTCTAGCGTGTCTTTTCTAGCGTGTCGTCGTGCTCCATCGTCAAGCCTAAGCATCCTAAGCATCCTAAGCATCAGCTTAAGCCGGTCGTCGTTCCGCGGAACCGGTCACTGTAATCCATCGCTGAAAAATTGTCAAATTGATTGATCACTGGATCTGATCCTCTGATCCTTTGTCGAGCGATGCATCCATCACTCCCATGCGCATCCAACTCTCAGTCGAACGCAAGCAAGTGGATGAATCCCATAACCCGCTTGCCGATGGACGAAAGCAAATGACAAATACCGAAAGAATGCAACAACGAGTGGATGTTTGCAAGGGGTAGAGTGATCCATAACCCGTTTGCTGATGGACGAAAGCAAATGACAAATACCGAAAGAATGGAACAACGAGCGGATGTTTGCAGGGGGTAGAGTGACCCATAACCCGTTTGCTGATGGGCGAAAGCAAATGACAAATACCGAAAGAATGCAACGAGTGGATGTTTGCAACGGGTAGAGTGACCTTGAGATTGATTGATTGATTGAAAAGACGGCGAGTGAATGGTTGAATGGAACATGCGCGAATGGGGCGAGGAAGGATGGGCGACAGGATGACTTCAGCGATGAGTGAGCGAAGGTGATGAATGGATGAAGCGCTTGGTAATGGAAGTGGTGGACGAGCGACCCGATAGAATCTGTGATCGGACGGAGCGCTTGTTTTTTCTGCTTACATGAGGGTCGGATGAGCGATGTATTAGCTAGCTGCTTCAGAGAGTCGCAGAGAGTCGATGGACTATCGTCTTCCACCGAACATAACGCACCCTGAAAATGAACGTATGCAAGGCATGTTTCCGGCCCGATACGGTCAAAATGAAGGTGCGTTGTGCTCGGGGGAAGACGGTAGGGGAGTGACGAGCGAGTAAGTGGCGAAGGACGAGTGAGTGAATGAGAGTGAGTGTGATTGGATGATGGGTGAGTGATTGGATGGGCGAGTGATTGGATGGGCGAGTGAGAGGTTGGGGGATGATGGGTGTGAGACTCGGTAGACAGGTGAATATGAATGACCGGCGGGGTGAGTGGACTCACCGATGCGGTGGCGCAGTGCGCGAGTGAGTGAAAGGATGCGCGTAGGTGACTGAGTGATCGACTTGCCGATTGGCCGACCGATAGACTAGCGAAACGAGTGCGCGAGCAATTGCTAATTGCTGCGGTGGATGGGTACATCGATGCCACCAGTTGACTGAGTGCCAGTGAACTGTGACTCTCTCTCTCT